AGTGTCTACGAAAGAAATGAAAGGTAACTCAGCTGTACAAATCTTGAAATGGGCTTAGATCCAGATTATTACTATAACATTGAGAATCAGGCCCATATTTGTTGATTTTAAGACCAGTTCTATATCCAAGAATCTCGGGCTTATAGAATTTTCTCTTTTCCGCGGAGAAAAACTAACGGGGACAAAATTTATCATTTTTTTTTTTTATGAAAAATGATTTAGAAATAATTTTTGTATTATTTTTTAATATAATTTTATATATTATTTAAATGATTAAATTTATTTATTTATTTAAAATTTAAGATATTATGTCCATTCATCTATTTAATAATATATTAAAATTATATAAAAAATAATATCAAAAATTGTTCCCATATCATAGCTTTTTTATTTATGGCAAAATTTACTATTATTAATACTCCAATATTTTAGTGAGATTCATGTTTTTTTAAGTCTGCTTATTAAGCTACTGGTTGAGTATAGAAATTATCAAAATATCAATGATAAAATAAAATAAAAGAGTTTTAATTAATATTTCTATATGTAGCTTTTATGGTAGTTATAACAATAAGTAATTAAGATAGAGAAAAATGTTTATCAATCACTTTTTTAAAAAATAAATAAATAATATTTTAACATCATATCATTTTAATAAAGAAAATTTTTAACTAACATATTCTTTAAAATAAAAATTATTGTTTTAGTTTTTTCCCCCTAATACTTTAATAAAACAAATAGTTTTAAAGTGTGTGTGTGTGTGTTTTTTTTTTTTTTGTAAATATGATAAACACTAACATCTTAAGAGAATCCTCATAAAAAAATTAAGATAATATAAATAGGAAAAAAAAATTTAGGTTAACTTGTATAAGAAAAAAAAAAGAATTCATGTGACAGTGAGAAAAAAAGTTGGAATATTTATGAAATTATTTAAATATTATTATTAAATTTCAAAAATAGTTTTATACTTTTTTTTAATACAAATCAACTTAAATTTTCACAACCTAGATATAAATTAAATAATACAAGTATAATTTTTTGCTATAATTTTTTTTCTTTTACATATTTTTTGCTATAAGTTTTTTATTCCAATTTTGTACCCAAAAGGAAAAATTAAACAAAAGTCCCAAATTTCTCATGGTTCTTGACCGTTAAATCCCTAATTAAAAAATTTTCTCCCCAAATTTGCTTCATCTTCCTTCTTCTCGCTATCGAATTTCCTTCAAAATTCCTCGAATTTCCTCTTCCTCATCCGCTCTCAAAAAATGGGCAAAAACCAAACCTACAAAGCTATGCAGAGAACGAGGCTTGGTTCCACCTCTGCAGGCCGGAAGCGATGGATGACGGCATGGTTTGTACCCTTATTATTAGCGTTAAATTCCTAATTCTATGCCTATTCTTTTCCTAGCTGAGGTCCTGAGGAAGTTATATTTCATTGCAGACAAGAAAGAGAAAGATTCAAAGAAGCACAGTGGCAGAAAGAGAAATGTATCTTCGTTTTCTGATAATATTTATGATTTTATTTGAAGTTTCCTGTGAATGACACTATACATAGATTCATGTGAATCAAAAAAAG